ACAATTTTTTATTTTTTGTAGAGATGGGTCCTCGCTACGTCTCCCAGGCTGGTCTCGAACTGCTGGCCTCAAGTGAGCCTCCCAAGTAGCTGGGACTACAGGTGCTTGCCGCTATGCCTGGCTAATGCTCTACAATCTTTTTATGGCTCCTCAAAATTCGACTTACTCTACAATTTTAATATGCCATAATTAATATTACCTAATGTGACAAAGAAACTCAGCTCAAGGATGTTGACTTTCCCAGCTATTTAGTGGCAGAACTGAATGAACTTTAACCCGTCTACTAGGCCAAGCCCAGCACTCTTTCATAATAGGATTAGCAGGACATAATCTTGCAAACCCACAGCGACTGTTTTCCCAGTGAAACTGGGTGTATCTGTGTATTAGAGATGTTCAGTTGACTTTAAATGGAGAGCGGAACTGAAGTAAACTCTCAATGACTAGTGCTGGTCGACAAACAGCACTTGTAGAAATTTTACAGGGAGAACTTTGCACACTGGCTCCCTCAGAGAACCCTGGGACAGGCAGACCTTTTAACTTCTTGCAACTACTTCCTTTTTCTGTGGTGAGCAGTTACAAGGAAAGCCTTCGGTCAAACTCTACGGCAGGAACAGCTTGATTGCTCTGGTCTGAGACTGGCAAGGGAGAATTTGTGCTGAGTCAAAGTGACTACACATCCAGATTTAGCCAAATTATTAATACTACTGAATAGGCATCATTTTATGCAAACATATTTAGGTATCTAATTTTTTTCCCTTTTACTAATGTTACATGCTACACAGACTTTCCATTTCTATGTCGAGGCAAAAAAGATTGCTTCCCAGGATTGGTGGAAAACTGCAGCAAACAGAGCAGGGCTGGGAGAAAGGCAAGTCCCCCCCTCCCCCCACAGGGACAGGGACAGCAGAGTAAAGCTAGGGCGAGCTAGAGCTAGAGCATGATGCTGACCTTTAGTTTTTATAAAATCCTCAAATGCTTGGCTTTATAATGCTTAAGAAAGTCTACCCACATTACTATTCACCTTAAGAACTTTCTGGCTTGCCCTACTCCTCAAATCCCAAATCAGAGCATGGGCTCAAGTTCTACAAAACAGCCCTCTATGCAGACTCCTAGGGCAGAATCCTTTGTTTGACTTACCTAAGAGGGTGTGTAAGCAACAGACCAGTTGGGGCAGATTTGAAAGTCCCAGCTCTGCCACCCACTCCTGTGTAATTTCTGTAACTGAACTCAAATGGCCTGAATGCATGCTAGGTAGAAAGAGCAATTTTTAAAAAAAATGTTATTCCTTTTTTGTTTTTCCTTTTTTAAGGGGTCTCACAATGTTGTTGAAGCCGGCCTCAAACTCTTGGGCTCAAGTGATCTTCCCCGCCTCTGCCTTCCCAGTAGCAGAAAGAACGATTTTGAAAAAAGCCAGAGACCACATATTCAAAAGCCAGAGGAGCACCCGTGACGTGCTAGGACAGCTACAAAGGGCTGTGCAGAGACAAGTGGTCCCTAAGGGAAAGCGGGATGTCTCTCCATTCGACCAAAAGGGGAATGACAAAAACAATCAGAGGGAAAAGCAGTGCACTAACCACGTGCACGCTTCCATGGGACCACCGGACTACTGGCTTGCGAGAGACGTGGGCACTCACGGAGTGAGACCCTAGTGAGGGCCCAATCCTACTTGATCCCAGATGAAGTCTAGTTGTAGAGCACAACCAGCTTTATAAGCACGGATTTAGGGATGATCATCCAGTTTGAACTGAAAATCCAGCAGAATTTAAGGAAGATGTGGCCTGACGTGACACCTAGAACTAATGTAACTTTTAAGACCGAGAGTCCAACTGAGGAAACATTAGTGATCCGCGGAGACTGGCACGTGCTCCTGTTGCTGCGCCATCTCTGTCCGCAGCCCCTGGCGCTGTGGGTGAACCGGGCTGCTCCTCGGTGGCATCCAGGATCCGCCTCTCCACCGTGCCTTGGATTCCAGCCCCGCCGGCCACGCCAGCAGCTCTCTCCGTCCTGTCCTCTTCATCATCTCCAGGTTCTCCCCCACCCCCAGTTCATTCATTCCAACTAGCACACAAACATGCTATGCTAGTTCCTTTAAAAAAAAACAAACCCTCTCCCTAGCCCCATATCCCCTTCCAGTTTACCCAGTTTATCTTCTCCCCTTAACAGTAAAAATCTCCGAAAGAACTGTCTGTACTCACTGTTGTTTCCACCTTCCTCTCCTCTCACTCCGCCTTCAACCTACTCCAGTGAGGCTTTTTTGGGCACACTCAAGAAAACGCTCTGCTCGCCAACGGCCTTGCTGGAGTACGGGCATTCCTGAGCCTCCTTCCGTGGGGAGTGAGCTCCATTACCAGAACCTCCGGGTCTGGGAGCCCCTACGCATGCACAGGGCAGCCACTTCCCGTCTCTCTTAGAACTTTGCTACCTTCAGGGAACACATACTCTGCTGTTCCTCTAATTCTGCTCCTCAAAGACTGGCCCCCACAGTGGCAGCACTGACATCACTTGGGCGCTCACTAGAAATGCAGACTCTCAGGCCCCAGCCCAGACCTGCGTAATCTGCACGTTAGTGTGACCCCCAGGTGGTTGTGGTGTACGTCAAAGTTCAAGAAGTGCTGCTTCAAACCCTCTAATTCTGGGTCCAGTGTCGGAAAAATCCAGTTGCCTACAGATGTAAGCCACATTCTCAGACAGCAGTTTGATCAGTAATAAAGGGGATGTTTTGTTCTCTCATCAGTCTTATTGTTTCTCAATTGGTCTGAAACTGGGGGAGAACGATGATAATCACTGGCTCCCTCAAACTTCCTACATCTTCCAGTAGCCAACCCTGTGGTTCCTGTTCAGTCCTGATTTTAACCCATCAGCCACACTGGACACAGCAGTCTCTCCTTGCCAGCTACACGCACTCCCCAAGGTACCCACCTGGGCCTCTATGTCCCGACCACTCTCCTGGAATCCAGCTAGTTTATCCAACTGCTTCGCTGACTACACATTCCAGCAGAAATGCTGGCATCTGAAATTGAACACGACCAGAATCGAATTATTCAGTACCACCCTCAGCTGTTCTTAAACCAGTGGTCTTCACCTTAGGAAACTGCAACACTGTTCTTCCCACTCAGGCACATGTCCCTTTAGTTTCTCTCCGACTCTGCATGCAGTCTCTCAGCAGACTGTGTTAGTTCTAACTTCGAACCGTACTCTGAATCTGACCACTTCTCCCCACCAATACTGCTCACCGCTCCTACCCTGGTCTAAGCCACCATCATCTACCCTGGATATTGGGATAACAATCTCTTATTTTGTCCCCTTTTCCCACTCTTGTCCCTACCTGAACACACAGCCTGTTTTCCACTCAGCAGTCAGAATGGTCTTTTTTTCTTTTTTTAAAGAGACAGGATCTCATTGTGTCACCCAGGCTGGAGTGCAGTGGTGCAGTCATAGCTCACTACAGCATCAAACTCTTGGGCCCAGGAGACCCTACCATCTCAGCCCCCTGCGTAGCTGGACTACAGGCACACAGCACCATGCCTGGCTAATTTTTTTTTTTTTTTCATTTTTTTGTAGAGATGGGGTTCTACTATTTTGCCCAGGCTGGTCTTGAACTCCTGGCCTCAAGCAATCCTCTGGCTTCAGCCTCCCAAAGTGCTGGAATTATAGATGTGAGCCATGACACCTAGCCTACTTGTGTTTTTAAAAGACTATTCTGGGCCAGGTGCTGTGACTCACTCCCATAATCCCAGCACTTTGCAGGGCTAAGGAGGGAGGATCACTCGAGGCCAGAAAAGCCTGGGAAACACAGCAAGACCCCAGTCTCTACAAAAAATAGAAAAATAAGCTGAGCGTGGTGGCATGCGCCTGTAGTCCCAGCTACTTGGGAGGCTGAGGCAGGAGGATCACTTGAACCCAGGAGTTTGAAGTTGCAGTGAGTTATGATGACGCCACTGCACTCTAGCCTGGGCGACAGTGAGACCCTGAGAAAAAGAAAAGAAGGAAAGAAAGAGAGAAGGAAAGAAAGACACGAATACACCCCGTCACTCCCTGCTCAAAAGCCTCCAGTGGCTTCCCGTTTCACTCTGAAGAAATTCAAAGTCCTCACCTGGACTCTGAATCACCCGGTCCCTGGCTACTTTCTGATGTTTTCTATTGCTCTCCCGCTTACTGACTCACACCAGCATCCTTACTATTTCTGGAAACTACTGAGGACACTGAGGACTTAACTTCTCTACTTGGAGACCTCTTAACCCAGGGATTGACTGGCGTGGCTGACCCCGTCCTCTATTTCAGGAGTCTGCAAATGTCACCTAAGAGAGGCCTTCTGACCACATGATCTAAACAGATACTTCCTTCCCATTTTCCTCTTTAATCTCTTACTGAGCTTTATTTTCTTCTGCAATACTTACCACTTGGAAGTTATAAATTTGTTTGACAAATGTCTTCCCCACTGGATGGGAGGGTCCCACGTGCACGGGCTTGCTCTGTTTGCTGCTGTCATCAGCACCCAGAAGGCACACCAGGCACAGGTGGGCATCACATAGCTGGTGAACAAATCACTGCTTTCTGCCTGGGTGCTGCTTCTCCCTCCCTTCTTCTGTTTCTCCCCAAATGCCCAGGACAGTGGTCCCTGATCATGCTCTGCTCACAATGGGGGCTTGTTAAGCTGACACTGAAATTTTCAAATCCCCATTACCTGGCCCCCATCCCCCAAAACCCACAACACTACAGAATCATTAGTAGGTACAAAAAGAGAGGCTTCAGGAGAAAAAAGACAAATCTTCCAGCTAAAACAGCCACTTACAGATTTCGGAGAAAAGTACTTTTAAAGAAACAGCACCACATAAGCTTTCTTCATATTAAAAACCACTGTTTTGAATATGAGAAAGGAACATGTAAGTGATGGCATCATGACTTTTGGGCTGAGAAGGTATTATCTTGGCAAGTCAAGAAAAGAAATATTTGTGTAATTACCCTTCAAAGGTTGCAAGAATAAACGCGCATCAAGAGCCTTCTGATGCACTGGTTGTACCTTTATTATTTTTACCTCGTTCACTAATAGTTCCGTGATGCAAGGTTACCACACACAGTTAGATAATGTCTGCATTGCACATCTAAGGCTATACAGCGGAAGAATCAGAATTAGTACAAATACAAGAACTATATTTACATTCTGTATACTCAAGCTCCAAACATCAGATAGTATTTACAAAATGAAACCTGAAAATGAAAATCCAAAATTAATAATGTACATTGTTGCTAATGTGCTCAACTCCTTCACTAGGGAGAGATCAGTTTGCAAAGTCTTGGTTCAAAAAGGCCACTTACGCATCGTGGGTTTTGTTGTAGTGTGCAAGGATGGTGACAAGAGCCTTGAAATCTCAACAGACGAGTACTTGAGAGCCACAGAGTCTACGACGATGCCTTAAACACCAGAAGGCCAGTGGATTCCTCGGGTGAACTGATGCCAAAATATGCAGCATGAAAAAAATTAACTCGAAGACATGAAAAACAACACACGACAGCCAGGGTTTGGCAAGAGACCAATCTCAGCTCAGACTTCCCATCTGAGCACAGCCCTTTGGCTGTGAGTTTTTAACATGAATTTTGTATAAACTCTAATTTCTTCCTTTAAATGACTGGAGGCTTTAAGATTTTAAGGGGCTCAAATACTAATTTCATAAATGGCCTTTTGAACAACAACAGCAAATAATCTCTCAGCTGACATTTCAGTTTATTAAGGATGCACCAAAGAATATGTTCCCGCTGCACACAGTCACGGTCTGGCCCACACACGCGGGTGTATCAGCGGGCGCTGTAGTGCACACAAGTTAGAGTCCTACTTAAACACATTCAGCAAACCTTCTGAGAGCAGCAGAATTAGTCTTTTCTTCTTAAGAAGCAGGTTAATAATCACATTTTAAAACGGGAACCAAAAGGAAAACTCAAGGACCCGAGTCAAACAAGCAAGCCCCGATCCTGTCCATGAGAGCCCGAGTGGAACACAGCACAGGGGACATGCAGGAGTACCGCCAGGCGCCACGCGCCAAGCGCGCTTTCTCTTCCAGCCACTGCACAGTTCAGACACCTATATACATAACCTTACACAATTAAATATCCCTGTAAATTAGAACAAGCAGCAGGAAACAAAGTCTTCGCTTTGAAATATGTGCCAGGAAAAGTCATCTTGTTTTTAGTCCCCAAAGACCTTCACAATGATTTATTTTTTCATCTTCAATAGGCTGAAAAATTCATCAAAAATATGACTAGTTATGTAAGTTCTATGTATCTGAAGGGAAAAAATCTATCAAATAATAGTAGTTTCTTAGTTTGAAAAACTCATTCCATTTTCTGTTGCCTTCACCATGCTTGAACAATGTGCTGCATCCAGAGGCCCTGTGCTCCTGAGCATGCGCACGGGCTGGCAGGCCCCGCACAGTTGGCCCGAGAGCTCCCTGACTCCCGGTGGCACACAGGGACATGGAGGTGCGAGCACTGGCTGGGGTGGCTGTGAGGCTATATTTTGCTTTGGCAGGAGAAAGGCAGATGAAGGAGAGAGGGAAGGAGGAGATAATTAGCTTTAATCAGCACTCATTTCTCTTAATTTGCGAATTTTTTTCTTGCCTTTTTTATACTTTGCTTGTTTAAAGGAGTGCTTTAAGAAAAATAAATAAAAAGCCCCCTTAAGGTGGTTTCTTTAATGGTTAGATTTCTTAATTTTCCCACCACCATAGCTACAGCTAAAGCCTCATATAAATAGTTCCTCCCATAAATCCTCTCTTAGAGCTCCAAAGTGGGGATGGCCCTGTCGGAAAGGGAACGAACACCCATCCCGAAAGTGCTGGGGAAGCGACAGGGGCTGTCTGCCCCCAGCAGTCCCAGCAGAGGCTCCTCAGATGGGGGAAAGCACGCCCGCCGGAGCCCCCAGAGGACACGTAAGGATCAGACAGTCCAGGGTGGCTTGTTCTCATGTCTGACACTTCCAAAGCAAAGACTTTCCAAACCAGTTGTGTTTGTGTTAGAAGAAAAACAAAAGTCATTTCAGTGTATCATGTGATCTCACTCTCCCTCGGGCTTCTCCCCGCCCTGGTCCCAGACATGGGCCCTCTGTCACACTTCACAACAGCAGCAACATCAGTGATTTCATTTTAAAAATGACCTTCAAATTCCATCTTCATTTCCCTGAAATTAGATTTAATTCCAGTCCAGCAAGCCGTCTCACAGCGCTGACAGATCCCGCTGGATTTGAATGTATGCTAGAAGGGCATCTTGTGTCCATGAGACGATGAGGAAACGTCCAGCTACATTAAAAATCTCACATACCACTTAGAAAACAAATAACATTACAGTCAGGAAGAAAGTTTAAAAAAATCCACCACAGAGTTTTATCGATCCCTTTGCAGACAAGGACACCGTCTGTGATTTCGACCCCTTCCTTTGTTCAGCTCTCCATGATTCGTTTTGCTTCCTCTTTGCGAGGCAGTTCTAACAGGCAAGGCCGGAGACAGGTTCTTCAGAGAGGAGCCTGGCCAGGAAGTCAGAAACAAGGGTCTGGATGCCGACGCGTCTCCCTGGCAACTACTCTGCAGAGGGGCACGAGCCCCTGGCCCTCACTGCGCGGGTGGAAAGTAAGCCGCTGCCGGTCACCTGAGAGCCAGCGACCTCAAGGCCAAGAACCCGCAAGGCCTCACAAAGTGGGGGCAAGCAGACACTTTCCTGAGAGCCCCAGCGAAGGTGAAACAGAGGGGTCTGAGCAAGGGAAGGAGAGAATGGTGAAAAACAACCCCAAGTCAACTGGCCAAGCAACTCAAGTCACCTGGAGGCTTTCTGTTCCCTGTGTCATCCTGTAAAATTTACTGGTCACTAAAAGAGAAAGAGTTATCTTCTGTGATGGTCTCTGGAAGCCAGACGGCCCTGGTCTGTCAGAGGAAAAGGAGACCCTATCAGCAGCAAGGCTTCCTCCTTTCTTGCTGGGTGATCTTTCCGGCCTGGATGGAGAGGAGGCTGCAGCAAAGGAGGAGAGACACAATGCTTTTCCTTGCCCCCGGGGATCTTTTGTTTTGTTTGGGGTGATGGTTGGAGGTTGGTTTTCATCCTGGGATCCAGAGAACAAAGCCTGCCATGTCTGCTTACTTATGAGTACAGGAAGATAAGCATCATTGAAAGCATTTTCGATTTAACGAGCATCACTGAAAACAACCACTGGGTTGATTCAGAGGGAGACTTCCAAGTGTGTAATTGAAAGCTACAATTCTTTGGTCAAAGGGAGCTACAACAATCAAAAGGTCTACTCAGCACTGTCTTAATTATGAGAATGACTGTCAAGTTTATCACCAGAAAGTCAAACACTCCCCCCTTGTGGAATATTTGTGTATGACATTGCACCAATTCCAAACTACCATCACCACTAATGCCAAGAACAGAACGGAGGAACTTCTAAGAAGAGCCTCCATCCCAACACAGAAACAACCATTTTCAGAAATCCTGCTGTGAGGACTATGAGCAACTGACTGGTGGCCACCTTCACGGCCCACTGCCAAATCCTGTGGTCCCCTGACATCCACGGGCTGTTATCTGTGGCTCTTCCCTTCTCACAGGGTCTACAGCAGCTACTGCCTCAGACCTGTTGAAAAGTCCCCTCTCTTCTCTCTTCCAGTAAATGAAAGTTTCCATAACTGTGCTCTGAATAAGCCCCGATTTTGACTCAGAGAATATAACTGTCCCATTTCTAAGCTCTCCACACCTTTTCCCTGAATGGAAATGCAGGGATTAGCCATGGCAAAAAGAGACAGAATGGAAGAAAAGATTAAGTTTTTCTTCTCAGGTTCTAAAAAGGCCAGATATCTCCTCCTTAGTCTCTAAGCCACCCAAGAAAAAATTAAAGTGATATCACGAACAGAAGAGAAAAAAAAAGCATTATGTTGTCTTGAAAAACAGACAAAGGTATCCAAAGACAGCAGCACAGACATGAGAGGTGGTCGGTATGGAGACCTGTCATACAAAAGGAAGCCAAAATACATCAAAATATAATTTGGAGATTTACTAGATCCCCTCAGGGTTTTCTGTGTCTGTATCGGTGTGTGTGTGTGTTTTTTTTTTTTAACCTTTTTTCCTTTTGTTAGGTCACATGCTACTAAGAAGATTCTCAGCACAGAAGAAAAGAGTACAGAGCAATGGAAATGGGGAACAGGAGGGTAGAAAAGTGCCGGACGGGGGAAGCAGTTAGCCACAGGTTACAGACAAGAGTCACCGTAAAGAATCACAAAGAGAAATGAGACGTAACACTTTCTTTCTCTCTCGAAGGCGAGTGAGGGCACTCCGCAGAGTCACTTAGTATTTCGGCTGGCTTGGGCATCTGCGGGAGAGTTTCGACCTATGGGGGACAAACGGGGAGGCAGGATTAGAAAACTGGGTCCAGGTGCTCTCCTCACAGTCTTCCCCTCTGAGGCTCCCTCCTGCAACTCCTTCCTGTTTAGCACCACGGGCCCAGGTTCTAGGCTCCCTACTCTGTGACACAAGCCCCTCCTAGGATCTGAGCCTGGATCACCGAGCTGAATGTTAGTCCCCTAGAGCCCATCTGCAGACCTCTTGAGAACAAAAAGACAGAGAAGGAGATTGATTCCTCAGTATAAATGTGACCAGAGTCTCCTTAACGGTTCAGGACACAAGATGGTAGCCTATGAGAAACAGAGGCCTCATTACCACCCCACAAACATACTACATTCCTGTCTTTCCTCTGTTTTAAACTTATTTAGAACAATACTTGTTTTCCTATTAATGCTGATATCTCTGGGGCCAAAAGCCAAGAAGAGAAAAGAAACATAAAACAACTTCTTACCGTATTGTGCCAGCAAGAAGTGGGTTGAAAGCATACAACCAGTCGTTCATGTCTTTGTCATTGAGAGCCTGCAAAAGGACCCCACGGTGCTTGGTACAGACAGCAAAAGTGTTAGGTGTCTGAAAGAAACATAGGTAGATAAGAAAATTACTACAGAGACTAGAGACTGAGCAATGGGGACCACCCTGCCTGAACTCACGAGGCACACCGCATTTCACACTGAAAGTTCAAGGAGAGCAGACAGGAAGGAGAGACTCCACGACACCCAACAGGGAGCTGGAAACTCAAGAGGGAAGGGCACATGTGGCAATGACACGCCAACACAAGGCAGGACTGACCTTCACCATGGCCTGCTGGTCCTCGCTGTACTCCACCTGTGCTGTGGACAGGTTAATGATCCCACGCTCCACTGGGTCTTTGTCACTGTTATAGATGAAGACGTAAGGGCGGCGGACCACGACAAAATGTTTAGCCCAGTTGCTGGAAAGTGGCTCCTTGAAATGCAGGTATCCTTTCTTAGAGACCACTGAGCTAAAAAGGACAGTACGAAAGAAGAGAAGTTAGCTTCTCACAAAAAGAAAATGATCATGAGCTGAGGACCATCAAAATATATCTTGCCCAGGGCAAGTACCCAGATTCAACAGAACAAGCAAGTGATCTATTTGTCCTAGAATCTTGTCGGTCAAGTACTATAGCAAGAGAGCAAAAAGGTGCCACAGCAACATGCTATGCCAGGGTGGAGATGCAATCTGGAGCAGAAACCCAGCCCAGCTCTTTCCCCTCAGACTCAGTTTGCATTAGACTACAATTTAGACCGCACAGAGAGGAGCGAGAAGTAAATTCATCTTGCTGATTTGTTTTTATACCCAGCATCTCTGGTCAATATACTACTCACCCTGGTCTAATTTCTTCAATATCTGGAACAAGATTGAGAAATTCATTTTTTCCTGCTCGGGCCAAATAGGGTGTTTCCATAGCTGGGACGATCTGAAACTGTTCAAATTCTGTGCAAGGACTAGAGGCCCGGGAATTGGCTTCTGGGGTCCTTTAAAAGAGAGAGGTTAGGAAGAAAGGGGTAATGGTTTCAGCCAAGGTCAAGGCATGTTGTGTACACCACCTCACCAGGAGAAACACAATGCCACTCCCTGAACACCAGCTGCAAACTTCAGTTTCAGAAAGCTCAGCTGAGCAGACAACATGGTGTCAAAAAGCGAATTGTCAATTCCACTGGGGTAATCCTTCAAAAGTTCAAAGGGAAATTGATCACTATGACCATCGAGTCACATAGTCCCTCTTCCTATTTTAAAGCCCTCTGAACAGAAGTGTGTGAAATATGAACTCTAGTCCTTACATGTTTCCTTTTAGTCCCACAGTCACACCTAGGGCAATGATTCTCAAAGTGTGGTCCCCGACTAGCAGCATCAGCTTCACGTAGGAAATTGTTAGAGATTCAAATTCTCAGACTCCAACCCAGACCTAGAGAACAAGCAACTCTGGGTGGGGTTTAGCCCTCTGTGCTCTAACAAGCAGGGGATGTGGATGGACACTAAAGTCAGGCCCGCTGCCTCGGGGAATGGCAGAGAAAGCAAACAAACGGGAGAACTCGGGCTCCTGAAAGGCTACGCAGCGCAGAGCCAGACCACTGGCCCGGACCACCAACCCAGACCAGTCCTCAGGACCGTGGTGTGAGAACTAAATTCCTATGCTCTGCATTGTTAGGTATCTTTCTAGAGCAGGTTAGCCAAATATAAAATATTCTCTTACAGTTGATGGCATCCTAAATTTAATGAAATTACCTGGTTATTTTCTCAGCCATTGTTGGCTCTGTCAGTGTGGTACACTAATACAGACAGGTGGGTGATAACCAGGTAGGTTGACAGGTGAGTGTAAAGAATGGAGATGCACAGGAGTTTGAGGGCACATTGCAAAGAAGTGATTAAGAGGATGTATCATGGAATCTAGGCTAAATTTGTGTTTATTTTTCTAACCTGTATATTTTGGTATAGCATCGTAATATTTTTTCCCAAGTAGTTTCAAAATATTTTCCCGGCATGGGACTTCCTATGTCTGGTACTATGACTGGGGAGACAAGCAGGGGGAGGCATGGAGGACAAAATGAGCAGAAAGGGATTAAGAAGGAGTCAACGCGCTGATGCAGATGCAATGGTGAGGGACGGCCAGAATGTCTCTCCAGCCACTGTGATACCCGCAAAAGGCTCCTGTACATTTCTGAATGCTGTCTGGGGGGACAGTGCTGCCCTCAGTCAAGAACCACTGAGTTAGAGGAAGGTTGACTTTTTTTAAATTTAAAAATATTAAAGGGGTATAAATGTTTTGTTACATGAGTACCTTTTATAATGCTTAAGTTGGGGCTTTTAGTGTGCCCATCACCTGAATAGCGTTCATTATACCCAATTTGTAAATTTATATCCCCCTTCTCCACACCCCTTGGTTTCCAATGATCTTTACATATCTTTGTGCCCATGTGTGCCCTTCGATTAGCTCCCAATTATTAGTGAGAACATGTGGTGCTTGTTTTTCCATTCCTGAGATACTTCACTTAGGATAATGGTCTCTAGTTCCACCCAAATTGCTGCAAAAGACATTATTTCGGCCGGGTACAGTGGCTCACGCCTGTAATCCTAGCACTCTGGGAGGCCAAGGCGGGCGGATTGTTTGAGCTCAGGAGTTCGAAACCAGCCTGAGCAAGAGTGAGACCCCTTCTCTACTAAAAATACAAAGAAATTAATCAGACAACTAAAAATACATAGAAAAAATCGGCTGGGCATGGTAGCGCATGCCCGTAGTTCCAGCTACTCGGGAAGCTGAGGCAGAAGGATCGCTTGAGCCCAGGAGTTTGAGGTTGCTGTGAGCTAGGCTGACGCCACGGCACTCTAGCCCGGGCAAAAAGAGTGAGACTCTGTCTCAAAAAAAAAAAAAAAAAAGAAAAAGACATTATTTCATTCCTTTTTATGTCTGAGTAGTATCATGGTACATATATACCACGTTTTCTTAATTCAGTCTTGGAAGGTTGACTTTTTCCTTAGTTCTTAAATTAGTTTCTCTCAGTGAAATCTGGGTATTATACTTACTTCTGATCCAGAGAGTTGCTCCTACAGTCTACCAGAGAGGGACAGGTCGAGGAGGGAGTGAGGGTAGCACTGCTGAAACTGGACTCAGAGGGGTCCCGTCCAATTGGAGAGATATCAGACAACTGGAAGCAACAGAACACAGCTAATGAGATTCAGCTGAAAAAAGCTGCTTCTGCAATAGGGAGCTTTGATGACCAGTGTCTCACTTTCACAGATCTCCTGTTGCAGAGGGTCATTCAAGAAAACAAGCCTACATATACAATTATTATCTGTCAATAAGTAAATAAAAGAAAAATTAAACAAAAGAAACAAAGAAAACAAGCCTTTAAATATTATATGGTCTGCGGGCCACATTAGGAATCAAAACATTTATGCAAGAGGCAAGGCTGGCTTTTTATATTGCTACTTCCTCCTGCATTAATTAAATAGCCTTACATATGTGTGCCAAGCACCTACCATGAGCCAGGCACTGTTCTAAGAATATGGCAGAGGCCCTGCCTTCCTGGAGCTTAGGGTAGACAATTAACCACTCAACAAGCAATTTAAAAAGTCTCAGGTAGTAATAAGTGCTGCAGCAAAAAATAAAGCAGGGAGCAGGGTGGGTAGAAAGTCTCAGAGCTGTCAGCTTGGTATCAGGAGGTCAAGAAAGTTCACTCCAAGGAGTCACTGTCTGAGCAGAAAAATGAAAGAAATAAGGGAGCCAATCACGGGACTCTCTGGAAGGAGACTATTCCAGGCAAAGGAGCAGCAAGTGTGAAGTGACCCCAAGGCAGGAAGGAGCTGGGTGTGTTTACTGACTAGAATCAAGTGAATGACACAAAAGTTCTCTGACGTGTCTACCTGACTCTTTGTTGAAGGTAACAAAACTTTATGCCACCAAGAACCTGTCATAGAGTAACATACCACCTCCCTATGGAGTATTCCTCTCCAAGGGATTCAGAGAAAAGCCAAAATGTTTCCTGTGTGATAATCACTCTAAGAGACACACAGTGATACTTCTACCTTCAGAAGTCAGTATTCTGACTCTGAAAAATCAAAATAAATACCATAGCAGTATGTCATAAATCTTTAAATACAAAGCTATGCCCATCTTAAGCCATCTAAAAGCAGCTTGTTGTTTCCTAAAAGCAGCAAATCTGGGCTGCTATGAAAATCAGTCACCAACATGCTGACTAAAAATTATGGCTTCAACACGCTCACCTTACAGTCACTGATGCTGCCATGCACCTGGCTGAATTCTCTGTTGAAAGTGTGGGTGAGAAGTTGCAGGCACTAGAGAAGAGAAAGAGAAGTGTAAAGGCCAGGTTCGGTGGCTTACACCTGTAATCCTAGCACTCTGGGATGCTGAGGCGGGAGGATCACTTGAGATCAAGAGTTCGAGACCAGCCTGAGCAAGAGCGAGATCCCATCTCTACAAAAAATAGAAAAATTAGCTAGGTGCGGTGGCGCACGCTTGTAGTCTCAGCTACTTGGGAGGCTGAGGCAGGAGGATCACTTGAACCCAGGAGTTTGAGGTTGCGGTAAGCTATGATCATGCCACTGCACTCTATCCTGGGCAACAGAGTGAGACCCCGTCTCAGGGGAAAAACAAAGACAGAAGTATAAGTTGAACATGAAATTTCAATGGCTAGGAGCTTCTGGATAGCTGAACACATTGAGGTTCCCGGAGGGTAGCGAGCCTGGGGAGGGCATGAAAGCGCCACATCTCTTCTCCCATGCCCTATGCATCCCTTCCACCTGGCTATACGTCAATATCCTCTGTACCATCCTTTATAATAAACCAGTAAACATAAAAAACATTTTTTTCCAATGGCTAAACAAAGCCTTGGATGCGAGACAGGAGGGAAAACAACATGCCTAAAACCCACAATGGAACTCAAATGTTGCCCAAACAGCTCTAGCAATTAACTAAGTATATACCGAGGAAAGTTCAGCATATGTCTAAAATAAAGATAATATTAATAAAACAGGTGGACAAAAAAAGTCATTCTCAAGACTACAAAAGTGAATTACTACCAACACCACAGTTTAGAAGTGCTTAAAAATGCAATAGCACTCCTTTAATTCATTCTTTCTTCTTTTTTTTAAGAGATAGGCTTTTGCTAAGTTGCGGAGGCTGGACTTGAACTCCTGGGCTCAAGAGATCCTTCTGCCTTTGCCTCCTGAGTAGCTGGGGCTATGGTTATATGCCACCATGTCTGGCCACCCATTTAATTCTCAATTCACTCTGGTGCTAAATGATATGGAGACTTTTGAAGAGACATATTTTCCTAAATAAACTAAAAGACCATTAGATTATTAAAACATCTCATTTTTATATTTTTTTTTCAGCCCACTGACTGGAACTATATACCTGGGAGTCACACTCAACAAGCCCTCCACCTTCTTCCGACGTACCCGGTCGGATTCTCCTTCCTCTTCATCCTACATACCTCTGCTTTCTTTAAAAAGTCTTTATCTGCCGGGTGCAGTGGCTCATGCCTATAATCCTAGCACTCTGAGAGGCCGAGGTGGGAGGATTGCTCAAGGTCAGGAGTTCCAGACCAGCCTGAGCAAGAGCAAGACCCCGTCTCTACTAAAAATAAAAAGAAAATTAGCTGGACAACTAAAAAACATATAGAAAAAATTAGCCGGGCATGGTGGCGCATGCCTGTAGTCCCAGCTACCTGGGAGGCTGAGGCAGGAGGATCACTTGAGCCCAGGAGTTTGAGGTTGCTGTGAGCTAGGCTGATGGCATGGCACTCTAGCCCGGCTCAACAGAGCAAGATTCTGTCTCAAAAAAAAAAAAAAATGTCTTTATCATTTCTCACCAGACTACTGTAATAAAGAGCTCTCCCTTCCTCAGCCTATCTCTTCACTACCAATCCATTCTCTTTCCTATTGCCAGAGGAATCTTTCTAAAACACAGATGCTTGTTTAAAGTGTTTCTGCATCACTCCCAGGTCAACTCTAACTCTTCAGTGCAGTGCACAAGGCCCTCCTCCATCTCCTGCTCGTCTCCCACATGAATTCCCCAAGGCCGCCCATTTAGGATGCCATTGGCTCCTCCCATGCGTCCCTCCAAGGCTGGCTTGAGCACCTCCTTTGAGGCCTCTCTTCTGGCTCCCACAGCATCTGAGACACACACCTCTATTATTTGCTTGACCCCATTAGTCTGTAAGCTTGTTAAGGGTAGGAACGGATTCTTATTTCTAGATTCACAGTGTTAGCACAAGCCTTGAAACAGAGGCCCTCAAACAAAGGTGTTGAAAACAAATAAACTAAGAGGCTAGCTGACAGAGCCTTATGTTGGGAAATGGCTCAGCAAAAAGGAGAGGACTCAAACCTTGGTAGCCAGCTCTTTCTCTCGATCCACCAGGCTTTCGATGTCTGCTGAGTCGTAGCCACTGCTCTCGCTAGGTGTGACAGCACTTTCAAAGGTGGTGGTTGAGATCTGAGAGGAAATACTGGTGGAGGTGCTTAGGGTCCCACTGCTGAGGCTGGGGGACAATGAGTCACTCAGGGATTTGGGGATGCTGTCACCAAGTCTCTCACGCAGTAGCAGGAAGTGGCGGGTTTTCTCCACCTGAGAAGATCAACACCATTGTCTCAGCACACACAAAGCTCATGAAGATCTCAATCATGATAGAAAACTAAAAAGCCACGATCATATAGAGAAGGTGGGTATAAGATTGATGCTTTGGGAATCTTGCCCAAGAGGTCTTGCATTTGAGCATCTCCTGCCTTTGGATACCTCGTGTAGGAGCTCTAGCTTCTCCAGCTCCCATTGGTGCTCCAGGATAAGGCTGTCTCCGCGGGGCCGCCAGCCTGCTAAGTTCTCCTCTCCCCGCACATAAGCCACTGATGTATCTAAGACTTTTCTTCTCCTCCTCTGCATGCCTAAGACAAGAGGAAACAATTCTCTTTATTTCAGAGAAAAATTCAATTTCTGGTCAAAATGAATTAATAATTCTTTTTTTTTTTTTTTTTTAAGAGAGAAGGTCTTGGCTAGGCACAGTGGCTCACGCCTGTAATCCCAGTACTCTGGGAGGCCAAGGTGGGAAGATAGCGGGAGGTCAGGAGTTTGAGAACAGCCTGAATAAGATCAGTATCAAGATACATTGGATTTTGTTTATTAATAAAAATTCATGCCTTTCCCCCACAGCAACTCTCTGAACTTTTTTAAAAAACTGAGTATTTAATTCTTTAATAATTATGAAGACTGAAATGCAACTTGAGAAAATGCTAAAGCGATTATGTTAAGTGAAAATATAAAGATATTTAATAGTCTGTACACTATGATTCCAAATACATAAAAATACACCCATATGAAAAAAGTGGGAAGGGACGACCCACTACATTTAGCAGTTCAGAAGATGGTAGGCAACAGATGGCTTTAGCTCTCATCATTTCCCATTTATTTTTTTTAACGTTATATTGGTTTTATATACTAAATAATAACTTTATGTTAATTTAAAAAATTCCTCAAGGAACTATCTGGACACTATAATTCGCTGCTATTGGGCCTTGGATCCATACTCAAAATCTTATCTATCTAAATCTTACTTGTGGGCCCTGAGTTCTTTTCCATATATGTTCTCTAAAATGACTCAAATTCACACTAACCAAATGCTTTTAGAAAACCTTAGAAAAATTTTAGTGTTATAGCTCTTTTAGAATTTGTCTAGCAGGTTTTCTGGTTTTCACCAGAACCCTCCGCCCCCCAAGAAAACCCCTAATTTTTGTTGATGTTTCTGTTTACAAACATAGAAATGCTAAGTGCTGCTTAAGTACCTCCAGCTAGAGGAACAGTAGCAGTCTAAAAACACATCAAAAAGGACACAGAACAAATGTGACTTAATAATTTGTCTTTCTAGAGTACAGGAAATTCAAATTAGTGGTTTGACTACATCTGTAAAGTTATACTGCCAAGTTACCTTTGGCTAAGGTGGGGAGGAAATGGTTATGAAGTTTTCTAAACCAAATTCAATCTACTATAATTCACTTAAATTTTTTATAATATTTCACAGCCCAGCAACATTGTTTGATATAATTTTTATAACCATATTGCACATCATAAATCAAATAATTTTGCAAATCTAAAAAAGGTAACTCTTACCACCACCACCACCACCAAACTAGTTTGTAAAAAACACACATGGTTTCTAAAAGATTTTATAACTAGCCTACATGGGTACCCTCTCCAATTTTTTGTATGTAATATGATTGAAACATATGCAAAGATAACTACCACTTCCCTGATCCATAAGAGCTTACCTGGACTACCTGTGTCTGCCATTTTGCACAAGCTGAGTTCATAAATGCCAGTGACTCGATTGCTATTTGAAGAGAAGAAAACAATTACTTAATCTCTCTCTTACAGCCCCCAAACAGGAAACTCTCAATTCTCCCTACTTAAAATACTGTCTCTTCCATAGTGAATGCAACCCACTCTCAAATATAATTACAGGCATTTCTTATTATTAATAGTTACTGTCTTTTCCTATTTTGAACTTAAGTTATATATCTTTTGCTAGAAGAAGCCTACTTTCATCTCAATCTATTAAACACTGCTATTTCAATAGGATGAATAAAATAGAATGATAAACTAGAAAAGTTATAATTCAGATGGGAAAGAAAACTAAAAATTTGTCTTTTCTTTTTCTTTAGTTTTTTATAAACACTAGCCACAGAGAAAACATGTCTTTTCTTACCATAAGACAGCAGAGATGAGGGAAAAAAAAATCTGACTAGAATGAAATGAAAAACAATACATTCTGGGGATTGTGAGTAGGAAGGGGTACTGAACCTTCTACTTTATTAGCAATATTTATTTTATTTTTTAGGCTCGGTGGTGATATACAGGTATTCACTGTATTATTCTTAATATATTTTTGTATATCTTTTTTTTTTTATCACAGGCTTGTTCTCTGATACTTTTGTATATCTTAAATATGCATAATACATTTTAAAAATAATGGTAATCTGTTAGAAATAATAATGACATTTAAAAGAACATTTAGTCCTTGCGAAATTGTTTTAGAAGTAGTCACAATGTAATATTCCTTCCTTCACTAACTTATTCCTCTATCAACATTTTATTAAATGCCTACACGCAAATCACTGCACTCCAAGTAACAGTTAGCAAAATGGTTTATAAATGGTAAACTAACTGTGAAATGGTGAGCCGGGCATAACTAAGGACTGCTGATTCCGTTGTACTGGGCAAACAAACTGGAAACTAATTTGTCTGAAAAACTTACGAGTCTGGTGACTTTGAGTAGCCACTGCCAAAGAGGCTGCGCAGAGAGCGTGGCGGTGTGATCTTGGCATCCCGGGAGTAGAAGACCATGCACACATCCTTGGTGATGACAGCTGGCTGGATGCAATGATCCAGCTGAAAGCAGACAGGGGTGAGCGCTGATTAAATGCAGGCAGAGTACCTGTGACTGGATGTGCGTGTTAGGAAAGCTAGACCTAGATGCGGGGACTGGAAGATTTCAGCTTTACCAATTATTTCAGCAGCAACTCAACATATGAAACATTAGGTGGCATTCCTTATAGATGGATGCATTTATTTTTCTCTGAGGCAAAGGCTATTATTACCCCTGTTTAATAGATGAGGAAACTGAAACACAGAGAACTTGCCCAAGGACATATCGGAAGTAAGTAGCAGCACAGGGATTTGAACTCAGATAGGCTGGTTCTAGGGTCTACCGTCAACCACCACCAGGCTCTGTCCCGAACTATAAAAACGAGACGTGAAGTTTTCTTAAAAATCATACATTTTTTGAGGCTGAGGCAGGGGGATCACTTGAGGCCAGGAGTTTGAGACCAGCCTGAGCAAGAGCAAGACCCCGTCTCTACCAGAAATAGAAAAAATTAGCCAGACATGGTGGTGCATACCTGTCATCCCAGCTACTTGGGAGGCTGAGGCAGGAGGATCACTTGAGCCCAGGAGTCTGAGGTCGCTGTGAGCTAGGCTGATGCCACAGCACTCTAGCCCAGGCAACAGAGCAAGACTCTCTCAAAAAAAAAAACATCATACATTCTTCAAAGAATGGTGGTTAGGCTAGTAAATCTGAAGCTATAGTAAAAGTCAGGTGACTTTTTGACTAAACAGAGCCCAGGAACAGAACCTCATATAATCAGAAGAGTCAGCAAAGTACAGTAAAATAAATATCTTAAGGGTGTGTTGGAAAAAAAGAAGACAAAGCAAGTCAAATCTTCACCGAGCATTTCCTGCTATAACTTGCCCACTGCTCAGGGCTGGCTGTTTGCGACAACTGGAGTTCTGAGTCTCCTTACCTCTAGGTAGGCTGACAAGGTCATGTAGATCTTTTCTCCATAGGGTGTCACTCGGTTCAGAAGAAGGGAGTTATGTAGAGAGCTGTCCCATACGGCCTCAAAGCGGTAGAAGGTCCTAAGGTCAGAAAGACAAGAGGGAGTCAGCCAAAAGCAGCTGAAGTTACCTTAGTCCAAGTACTGTCACTGTCAGTAATCCTAAAAAATACTACCTCAACCACCCAACACTTTCAATTCATCAAAATCTAACAGGGGGACCCTTATCTCCTAGGAGGAAATGGTAGGTCCCATCTTCTTGCCCCCATCCATCAATAAGGAGTACTTAGTTATGCAAACTGTTTTTTTTTTTTGATAAGCATGACTCTGCCTATAAACATAAACATAGTGAAGTCATTCAAGTAAGATGAAAAGGATAAGTGAGTAGGGACAGAAACTGAAAGAAGACAGACAGCCTAGGTAAGCTATCCTGTCAGTTAATGATAGCAGGAAGCAAATACTCAGTAATTTCTAAGTTTTGGTCTTCATATCACAAGAGAGAGTAAACATCATACAATCCAGTGCTGCTGAGCCTCAGAAATGTCACAAACATATCTGGGAGGATTAATGGTGGAAATAGGTAGAAAAACTGAAATATAGAAAGACTTGCTCTTTTTTTTTTTTTGAGACAGAGTCTCACTCTGTTGCCTGGGCTAAAGTGCCATGGCATCAGCCCAGCTCACAGCAACCTCAAACTCCTGGGCTCAAGCTACTCTCTTACCTCAGGCCCCTGAGCAGCTGGGACTTACAGGTGCTCACCACCATGCCTGGCTAAGTTTTTCTGTTTTTAGTAGAGATGGGGTCTTGCTGTTGCTCAGGTTGGTCTCGAACTCCTGAGCTCAAGCAATCCTCCCACCTCAGCCTCCCAGAATGCTAGGATTACAGGCATGAGCCACCACACTTGGCCTTTTTAAATTTTTTGTAGAGATGGGGTCTTGCTATTGCTGAGGCTGGTCTCAAATCCCTGGGCTCAAGTCATCCTCCTACCTCAGCCTCCCAAAGTGCTAGGATAATAGGCATGAGCCACTGAGCCTGGCCAGAGAGCCTTGTTTTAAATAAAAGAACAAGAGCTATTCTTAGCTGATACTTAGTGAAAGAAAATGATTTCTTAACACCAGAGCCAACCAACTATCATTTGTTAGTGTTCAAAAAAAAAAAATTTTGAAAAATCAATCTTAAATTTAAACAACAACTAGAAACTTAATTGATACCCACAAACTGTTTTTTTTTTTTTTTTTTGGACAGAGTCTCACTCTGTTGCCCAGGCTAGAGTGCCATGGCATCAGCCTAGCTCACAGCAACCTCAAATTCCTGGGCTCAGGCAGTCCTTCTGCCTCAGCCTCCCGAGGAGCTGGGATTACAGGCATGTACCACCATGCCTGGCTAATTTTTTCTACATATTTTTAGTTGTTCAGCTTATTTCTTTCTATTTTTTTAGTAGAGACAGCATCTCACTCTTGCTCAGGCTGGTCTCGAACTCCTGAGCTCAAACGATCCACCAGCCTCAGCCTCCCAGAGTGCTAAGATTACAGGCGTGAGCCACCGCACCCAGCCTGGTTTGTTGTTTTAATATCACCTTTTTTTCCTACTGGTAAAATACCATAAGCTCTAACTAATTAAACCTTCCCGTTCAGCAAGTCTCATAGGAAATGTTGCACTTAGTTCTACAGCAGTGTTGCGGATCAACTCCAAACTCTACCCCACGCTTCCCTACTCAGACCCCATGAACAAGCGCAGCGTAGATGCCTCCTCTGGATTTCCTATGACAAATACTGGGCAGATCCCCTCTCTAAACACATTCCCACGTTTCTTCCTCCAGAAACCATCAACAGAGAAAACAATACGTTTCTGAAAGTGAACTCCACGATCACGCCTCATCTTCCAGGTGCCACTGTGTGAGATCTGATCATTTCACGTCGTAGCTGCTTATAGAGCTAAGTCTTCATCAAATACTTGGTAGTCTGTCAAGTGTCTAATTTTTGAGGTATTGAGTATGGGTCAAGAAAATTCTCTACAAAGACATTGAAGGAACATAGAGACAACTAACAAGACAAAGACAAAGCCACCAAATGACCCAAGCAACAACGGAAATGATGGCCTTTTCCTTTCTTTGGCTCTGAGGCTCTATAGACACAGCAGAAAACCCTTCGTGCATCCACAAAGCTCTGTTTAGAGCAAATCTTTATTTTCATTTGGTTTAAGGCAAATGCTAATACCAGGTCACAATATCCACTACTTTAGAAGAAACCACTTGAAAACTCTACCCTCCTGAGAGCTGCTCTTCTACTGTGTACCCGTTTTTGTCAAAGTACCTAGAACGATATATACAGGTGTATCCCGGGCAGGGGCTGGATACACCTGTGCTAAAGTGAAATAACCAACCTGCTTCTGAGAGTGAGGGTATTTATGACTTTGGCTGTATTTTACAGAAATTTCTATTACTGCTGCCTGTAATTCATGATTCATTAAGTTCCAAACTGTAACTTAGCTACTACTAAGGTTTCATGATTGATTCTTTCAACTGAGATGAATATTTTGAACTTGTCTAAGAAAGACTTCTCATATTTCTGTTTTCAAGTTAAGTTTTCACTTAACCTAAAGAGAAAATGTCACTGCAGAAACCTGGCTAACATAAACGAAATTTTGACCCTACTGAAATCTTCCGGTATTGATTACGGGGGAAAAAAACTTTCTTCTTTTTGTTTTGCTTTGCAGTTGCTGCAACACATTTTGTTGGTATAAGCCCCAAAGGTGGCAATTCTGGAGAGGCAGTTGTAACAAATACAACCTAGACTGGTGAAAAATGTCAATTCAATCGAGCTGGCTGCCAGGGTAATTTAGGATTAGAAACAGGGCTGAGTTCTGAGACATGGTTTCCTGCATGGCTCCTAAGGTGATTAGAAAAGAATTCCAAATCATTTTCTTGAGATTTCTAAATGAAAGCAGCATCAGAAGAGATGCAGGTTTCAAGGTGACTGCTTTGAAGGATATATTCTTTCAAATTTATTAATTATGAACAATTTAAAAACCAACTTCTTACATTATGGTCATACCTAATGGACCTTCTTGAATTCATTAGGAGAAACCTCTGAAATGTGAACTCAATGGAGTCCAGATTAAGAGATAAACTCACTATACCTATAATGCCAGCCAAATATATATGTGTGTGTGTGTGTGTGTGTGTGTGTGTGTGTGTGTGCGTATTTTAACATCTAAGGTTGTATCGTCATGTATCATTTCTTTCAGTTTTCTTCCCTAAATGAGATGAAGAGAGAGACAGGAAAAAACTTCCTTCGCTATTAAACCAGGATTTTTTTCTATTTCCACTTATTTTTCTATTCCCAATAAATAAATAGGTAAGATAAGCAACCCTGACAAGAGAAAAAAAAATGTTTAAAAAAAATACAAAATATTTCTCACAGACTTGGCTACCCAAATAGCCAAACTGGTCTCTACTACTATAAAGGACAAAACACAGAAAATGAATGGTTTTACAAGGCTGCAACAACTAGGTTTTAACAGAGTAACAAACCATTCAAGCTTCTGACAGAGAGAAGACAACAAAGCCTGAGATTCTATATGAAATGAAGGAGAAACATTCTACTCTGTAATGTATTAGAGGAAAACTTGTAGAGGCATAAGAATAAAATGGATGTTCAGTAAATAGAATGAGCAAATAATTTAGAACTCCAAAGATCTTTTTTTTTTTTTTTTTTGAGACAGGGTCTCACTCTGTTGTCCAAGCTGGAGTGCAGTGGCATCATCATAGCTCACTGCAGCTTCGAACACCTGGGTCAAGCTCACTTCAGCCTCCCAAGTAGCAGGGACTCTAGGCGTGCACCACTATGCCCAGCTAATTTTTAATTTTTTGTAGAAATGGGGGTCTTCCTGTGTTGCCCAGGCTGGTCTTGAACTCCTGGCCTCAAACAATCCTCCCACCTTGGCCTTCCAAAGTGCCTAAAAATCATTTAAGAAGCTATATGCAAAACTGTACACACATCAGAAAAACCTACAGCAAAAAGGAGACGTGTCTTAGGGTACAGAATAAGGTCTTGCTCTATCCTAGGTACAGCTTAGGTTTACACAGAGGGGACAAAACCACTAAATAGCAATCAAAGCAACATAAGACATAAAGCATTCTGATAAACTAGAATCTTTATGTGCAAAAAAGCAAACCGAAAATACCTAGGAATATCCTTATCAAGAAAGAGCCTGTAAAAACATAGAAAAGGCTTTTGTTAGTGCAGCAAACAAAAAACAAAAGAAAGTGAGAGAAAGAAGAGGAAAAATATATATATATAAGACAAATTTGCTGATAAGCAAAGTGAATTCAAGTAGACAGGTAATTAACAAACTGAGAACCCAACGGGACACAATTTGACAGAGGGTTTACAGTGACATGGGTCCGTGTCCTGAGACTTCCAATAAGAAAACACTGGACATAGACGGGAAGGTGGAGACCACCACCATCGATATTCCTTTCCGTGGTGACTTAGTACTGGGAATGGTAGGAAGTTGCTGTGGAGAGTTAAGGGACAACCAAGTCAATCTGTTAACATACATGTAGGACTGGAAAGAAAAGAAATAATGGTCCTTCAATTCTATTCTACTACCAATGTATTAGAAAAGCCCTCTAAGATACATACATAATACACCCAAATTGGAGTTCTGTAAGTTCAATTTTAAACTTTAAAACTTAGCCAAACAGAACAAAAGCTCTCTTAACCAAACTCAATTTAGCAATTTACCAGATTAGCCTTTGCTCTCCATATCCTCAAAATATAAAGACAGATTCCTACTTCTTAAACATTCTAGAGAGATGGCTTGTAAACCCAGACAATTCGCTCCGAAGAGTTGAGTTATGTGCTTATCAAGTGTCAGTAGTATCTGGTCCCAAACCTGTTTATGCCAGTTGTATTTATTACTATAATTATCTAATTTACTTAAATATAAAGCAAAGAAATGAAATATGAAAACAAAAAGAATTCTTGTTTTTGTAAAAACTTTGTCGAATGTTTTCAAAAGATTTGATAATGGTGAGTTGTTCAAAAACAGCTGTTAAATTAAGTTTGGGTGAGATAAATGTAAAGGAAAGAGGAAAATAATAAAATGTTTAAATGATAAAATGTTAATAAATGATAAAAAGTTAAAATGATTTTGGAATTAAGATTTTCTTCATAGGTTTCTAGTTCTTGCTTCACCAAATTGAAAATCAGAGATGAATTATGGGTGGGGTTTTGCAAGAAAAACAATCAGAATTCCAATAAATGATCTTATAACTAAACAAATTAATGTACACTTGTAGTTTAAATTAAAACAAAATGTTTAAGGTATATATCTTATTCTTCTTGACCTCAGCCAACTTTTTTGATTAACTAACTTTAAGCTTCTATTACACGAGATAAGCTGCTTCTGATAAAGTCAAATTCATTTCCTACAGCACCTAACCCACCGCTGGCATAAAGCAAAGGACTGTCCTAGGTAACTCTAGTGCAGGCAAACTTTCCCCTACCAGCACTTCAAGCAAACACCATCTTTCTCTGTGTATTTGCTTGGTACCCTAAGGAAATTTAATATATATTTTTCATAGTTACAAAGAAAATGTGGTGGTAAATGCCAGCTGAATACTGGCCATAAATGTTTGGCAGAAGAGAGAATACTATGTGGAGTTACTGCTGACTCCAGAAAAATGGTATTGTCTATGATTTTGCCCAGAGACAGTTAAAGCACCCCTCTTTTCTCTGCCACTCCGCCTCCCCAGACATACACACCCGCTCACACTCCTTCCCTTTCTCTCCACAGCCCCTGCAAGCAAAGAGAAGTATGTTCCTTTTTTCTCTTTCCTATGTAAAATTTAATACATGAAAACAACAGAAAAAAATTAATCCTGGCCCAAGCTCTTTATTTTGTTTCTGCCTATTGTCTTTTTCTTCCTGTCCCTCTTCCCACCATAGATGTGAGCAGAAGGAAGCACGGGAAGCACTGTAATGCAAAGCAGTGTATTCAGCCCACACCAGAACAGGCAGCTGCTCCTGTTACTCAGCCCTATGATAAAGAGATGGAGTCTCCCAAACAACGACAGAACTCCTTTCCTGGGAGAGGTAAGAGGACCCCAGCTGGTTTAGCTGCAGTCTGACACGGGAAAGCACAATGGCTATAGACTTCACGCATTGTATGTCATCACCTGATTATAAAAGGGAATTTTAAGATAAATGAATTTAAAATAAAAATAAAATCTGTTATTTACAAAAGCCAATCTGGGCCATAAGAGTTTATATTAATTTATCAACTTTATGCATAAATGAAAGTGAAAAGCAAATACTAAGAATAATTGAGCCTATACTAGTAGTGGCAAAGACAAAACATGAGGCTTCATTATACCTTGGAGGGCATGTTTCCATGATACTTAGGAGGGAGAAACCTTTCTCCACAGCAACCATTTCACAGGGAAACACTTAGTCTTAGCAATAATTAATTTGTATTTTTAAACCCTTGAATAGCATGTTGTGTTTTGGGGTTTTTTTTTCCTGATTTTTCTTTATCGGTATGTTATATCTACCCAAACTCCATATGGGATAGATCATTTCCATTGCCCAAGGGTAACTGATCACATATAGATATCTCCGATTCTTTCTTTCTTTTTGCAGAGCAGGGTAGATAGAAAAAGAAATAGGGATTTTTGAAGTGAGGGGGAATTAGTCCTTTGTCTGAACCAGGAGTCATTAACACATCAGGAGTCTAATAGTGAACAAATCAACCCACACAGGGGCTGACACATCATATTTCTTAGGGTGCCCCACCTGCTGGAGTTGTGGGAAGACTTCAGGTACTTGGCAGAAATAATATTTAAGGAGAGGATGGCGTCAACTGCAGCCTCGTCCACCTCTGGCTTATTCCTAATCCGGCCTAAAAGAAAGGATAAAGAAACCAGAATATAAGCACATTAAAAACAAAACAAATTCATTAAGGCAAAAAGAGACTTTCAGATCTTTGTGTAACTTCAGGTGCTGGAAAGGTCACTTGGTTCCCTATGGGGTCCTCCATTCTTCCCCATGGTCTGTCTCCCCTTTACTTCCCACATTTAGTCAACCTTATTGATGCTTTGTTCAAAGAGTTTTTCATATTCATCCCAACTTTATTTTCCAATATCACTACCCTGCTCACGAAGGCCACCTTCCTCTCCAATCTGGAACCCACAACAGCCATTTAACTGGTCTTCCTGCTGCTCACATCTCCCCTGTTCCAATCTATCTTACACTCACCTATTATAAACTCTTTAAGCCACTGACTTTATTACACTGCTTTCCTGCTCAAAATCCCAACTTTGTTTTCAAATTGACACTAGGGGATACAGCATCGCATAGAGGTTAGGAGCTCAGTCTCCAGAGCCAGACTGCACGGGTTCCAACTCTTACTAGCTGTGAGGCTCTGCACATAATGCTCAACCCCTCTGAGCCTCAGTTCCCTCATCTGTGGAATGAGAAAAATAATTCCTCCCTTATATATAATTGTTATGAGGATTAAATAAGTTGGTCTTTTTAGAGCAGTCAGAAAAGCACCTGGCACATGGTACACACTACAGAAGAGTTTGTTAAATAAAATAAACAAATAGATTTTGTTTTTAACCACTGCCTCCACATTCTCCCTCACTCATTCTGGTCAGAAAGCATCTTTTCTGTTTTGTATATCGGTGTTCTACATAAAAAGGAATTTTGAGAAAGCTTGAAAACCACTGCCCCAGAGAGGAGAGAGTAAAATCTCCCTTCTAAGGGTTCTTTTTTTTTTTCCATTTTTTAAATTCTTTCAGAAAATTTTTTCTTATTTAAATTTATTTCTTCTTTAGCAGTTGACTGGCAAGTTGGAACCTTCTGAGGGTTTCTTTTTTTTTTTTTTCCTTTTATTTCAGCATATTATGGGGGTACAGATGTTTAGGTTACGTATGTTGCCCTTGGTGCCCCCCGCCCAAGTCCGAGGTTCAAATATGTCCATCCTTCGGGTGGTGCGCATCGCACTCCTTGTGGTTTCTTAATCTGGTCCACATGAGACACAAAGGGTCTGTGGATAGAATTCAGGCAAGCTGTGAACTTATATGGGAAAAAATTACACCTTTATTTTCACAAACCTGTAACAGAAAATTCATATTTCTTTCAATTATGAAGGAAGGAATAAACCACAGGAGAATCAGCAGTACCTGTGACTCTGTCCCCAGTAGAAATCACAGATGTTTTCATATCACACTAACATAAAATATCTTTTTCATTCATTACCACTTTGAAATTATGGTAATTAGACTCGCTGCTATATCTTGCTATTTAATGCATCATAAAGAAAAGCTTGTATTACAGATTTGTTTAATATTTTGACAACTGTATTTCAATATTGTTAGTTTCCTTTGTAATCCTAAGTATTTTATTTTCTACATTTGAAAACCTAATTCTAAGGCTTCACCATTGCCAAAGAGATCCATGGCAACAAAAGGTCTCAAACCCCTGCCTTAGACTACTGCTACGCTCACGCCCAAAATGCCTTTGTTTAATTTCTCCACTCTAGCCATGGGTTTCTAGCTCTTGCATATTAGACATATTCTTAACTCTTACTGGAAATGTTTATGTCTGCAAAACAAACAAACAAAACCCCTCTAATTTCTCTTGAATCCATTCAGTCTTCCTGCATTGCTTTTGTTGTTAACTCTCTTAGCACAGGTCTTTTGCCCGTTTTCATTTTGGTACTTATTCATCAAACCATTTTACACATATGTACATTGACTCTCCAACTAAACCACAAGCTCACAATGAGCAGAGGCTTCTTTTATGCCCTCTCACAGCCTCCAACACAGAATCATGGCGGTGGTAATTGAGTAAAATAGTGGTTTTACTAATGATGGAGCTGAGAAACAAGAGTACGCAGAGTTAAACTCAAGGCCTCCACGTTCTCCAGTCTATATTCTCCAATACAATCTTCCACACATTCATTGTGTTGCAAACAGGGAAAAATAGTATCTCTAAAAATCCCAGCTCCGTGCTCAGCGGATGGAACATACTCACCTACCACCAGTTCTCGAACATCTTTCCAGTGGAGCTCACTCCCCTTCTCATGGATAATGGTCACAGTGATCCTTCGCTGGATGCCCTAGGTAATGGAGCAGGGTTGCAGTTTAGTTGGGGCGATCTATTGTTTCCTCATGTTTGCTGTTTTCTGGGTTGTATGGTATGGGGATGAGCAGGAAGGAGAGATATGGAAAAAGAGGGGACATGCTGTCCACACTGTTACTCAAAATAAAGGGAAATGGGTCAGGGGCTGAGGAACAGCCAGGTTCTGATATGGTTTTAAGAACATGTGGCTGAGGCAGGAGGATCACTTGAGCTTAGGAGTTCGAGGTTACAGTGAGCTGTGATCGTGCCACTGTACTCCAGCCTGGGCAACAAAGCAAGACCCTTTCTCAAAAAAAAAAAAAAAAAAGAACAGATGCCCAGATTATATGTTCCAGTGTATGGGACCCCCAGCTCCTATGCCCATCTGGGTCATAAGCATTTTTGAGCAATGACTAAATCTACTCTAAATTTACCAAAGGGGAACCTACATTCCATAATCAGATTTTTAGTCCATTGAAACCTCCATCCTCTACCCCCATTAAGAAATTTTGGCTGTGAAAGCACAGAGCTCCCAAACATCATGAAATGAAAACTGTAAAAAATGACATGGGAGTGGCTGGGCACGGTGGCTCACGCCTGTAATCCTAGCACTCTGAGAGGCCGAGGCAGGAGGATCATTTGAGCTCAGGAGTTCAAGACCAGCCTGAGCAAGAGCGAGACCCAGTCTCTACTATAAATAGAAAGAAATTAGCCAAACAACTAAAAATAGAAAAAATTAGCCAGGCATGGTGGCACATGCCTGTAGTCCCAGCTACTTGGGAGGCTGAGGCAGAAGGATTGCTTGAGCCCAGGAGTTTGAGGTTGCTGTGAGCTAGGCTGACACCACAGCACTCTAGCCCAGGCAACCAAGTGAGACTCCGTCTCAAAAAAAAAAAAAAAAAAAAAAATGACATGGGAGCTGCATAATGAATATAATAAACTCTTTTTCAAAATAGCTATTCTAAAATACATGTATACATAAAAGCAAGGGTAGACATAAGCCAAGGTTTGAGGAAGAAGCATTAAAAAATAAATACACAAATAAATAAATATACAAAAAAAGAAAAAAAAAGGACAGCACAGTAAGACTATCTCCCCACCACCTCAAAACAGTAGGGAAAAGCAGAGAAAATGAAAGTTATGTTTCTTATTCTAAACTCTTTGTGGTGTTCTGTTCTAGGTCTATTTTCCTTCTCATTAGTACCTGGTGAAGCAAAAATGTCCCCTGGCAGGGCAAGCCTGCTGTATGGTCAACCACCACTGGGATATACCTATAAAAACAGAAATGCAAAAGAAAGAAGTAAGTGCTACTTCATCTGCAAGGTCTTCCCTGGTTGCTGTAGCCCCTGGTGGGCCTTGTTTTTCTAAACTCTGATACCACGTGTTTCTTACCCTTTTTGGCATTTAGTTATTCAGTCATTTGCATTTATTAATCCTTTCCCCATATCTATGTCTCATCATCCTTACTAGACTGAAGTACTCAAAGGACAGTAACATCTTTTGGTTTCATCCTAGTCCCTTGCATAACAAGTATTCAATAAATAAAATACAAGTGCAAAGGTAATTGATAGGAAATAAGAAACAGATAATTTCAGATTCTAGATAGTTTTTTTAACACTCAGAAAGCAATTAATTCAGTAGAAATCATCATTGTAACTACATCTCCCCCATAATACGAGTTAGAGTCACATTACAGATCTATCTGTGGAAAGTCAAATTCCTCAAAACAATGTTACTACTGACAACTACATGTAGTATCCACAGAGACATACTTAACACAGGGACCTACACATAGTAGCAACTTAATAAATGTTTCATGGTGATGACCACGATGGTGGTTCTCAGCATTATACACAGAGGAACATTAGGATAACATTTACCTCCTACCTCTTACATTAATTGATAGACCCCATTGCCTCTGTTTTAGGAATAAGATCTCTTTTGTGTTTTTCCAAAAGCATTTTAGAGACAACCATAAACAATAATTACATTCATTACTTTCTCTAAAATAGCTCATGAAAAGGTAAACTGATGTTGATCATTTTGATCTAGGACAGTGGTTCTCTATCGGTGGTGATTTTGCCCCCTGGGGGACATTTGGCAGTGTCTAGACACATTTTTGGTTGTCACAACTAGAGGGGAGGTGCTACTGGCATCTTGTGGATAGAGGGCAGGGATGCTACAAAATAGCCTACAATACATGGGACAGGCCCCCACAACAAATACCTGGCCCAAAACAGTGCTGAGATTGAGAAACCCTGGTCTAGGGAAACATTTTGCCCCTAATCCCTTCACTGAGATTAGTCATAGAAGTCTTGATCACATTCTGTGCAATATGTTCTCTTGGTTTTGCTACTGATGAAACCCACTCTGTAGGTGGTCTTCCCTCATAACAAAGTGACAGTCTCCATGGTCCTGCTGTTGCTAACAACAAGGCAAATTATTATACTGAATAGTCAGTTCTCTGACAAACATCTGATTCAAAGAAAAATACCAAGACTACTAAAATTCAATTCAAAACTGGAATTTGATAGTGACAAGATTCATGAACCCAAATATAAGAGAGAATTAAAATTACATTTCCTAATTTTGAAACACTTTGCCTTATTTAAAAATTGAGAAAGTCGGACTTACTCTCCTGTAGGCTCCAGCTCACTGATCTCAAACCAAACCAGGAGGTCATACTTGCTCATGCTCTGGCCAAGGCTGGTTTTGCTCATGGTGTTTAACTTGGTGGCTGGAACTTTTAAAAGTTTTTAGAAAATGTCAAAATCTGGTTTAAGTCTATTTAGCAAAAGTATAAGCTTCCCTAATGTCAGTCTTCAAGGACACACTTGGGAAAGGCAGCAAGAATCATGAGATAGATTTCATTGGAGAAGACCAGAGAAACTTCAACATCAACTATATTAGTACGGCTAAATTCAGAAAACAAGGAAAATGGAGAGTCAATGTCTTCTTCTCTCTCAACAAACTATCTCCGAAGATGAGCAAATAGATATTGTGCAGAATAAATGTGCTCACAAAATCATTTTTAAAAACCTTTCCTCTCAGCCGGGTGCAATGGCTCATGCCTGTAATACTAGCACTCACTCTCAGAGGCCGAGGCGGGAGGAACACTTGAGGTCAAGAGTTCGAGACCAGCCTCAGCAAGAGCAAGACACCGTCTCGACTCAAAAATAGAAAAAATTAGCCAGGCATGGTGGCACATGCCTGTAGTCCCAGCTACTAAGGAGGCTGAGGCAGGAAGATTGCTTCAGCCCAGGAGTTGGAGGTTGCTGTGAGCTAGGCGGATGTGACGGCACTCTAGCCCGGGCAACAGAGTGAGACTCTGTCTCAAAAAGAAAAACACAAAACAAAAACAAAAACAGGGCCGGCCCGGTGGCTGACACCTATAATCCTAGCACTCTGGGAGGCCGAGGCGGGTGGATCGCTCAAGGTCAGGAGTTCGAGACCAGCCTGAGCAAGAGTGAGATCCCTAAAAAACAGAAAGAAATGATTTGGACAGCTAAAAATAAATATATATATATAAAAAAATTAGCCGGGCATGGTGGTGCATGCCTGTAGTCCCAGCTACTTGGGAGGCTGAGGCAGAAGGATCGCTTGAGCTCAGGAGTCTGAGGTTGCTGTGAGCTAGGCTGATGCCACGGCACTCTAGCCTGGGAAACAGAGCAAGACTCTGTCTCAAAAAAAACAAAACAAAACAAAACAAAAACAAAAATCATTACCTATAGAATCTCACATTTTGTGGCTGGCGGGCAGAGCGTCATAATTAAGTGGAGAGACAGTGCTTGGAAAGCCTTGCACATCCCAGGGGCTCCCTCAAAGCTGGTGTGGCGGAATAAGCCCCACCCTCTGTCCCAGTGGTTCTCAAACCTCCCTGTACATAAGCATCACGCAGGGATCTTAAAGATGGCAAATCCCAGGCCACATCCTAGATCAATTAAATCACAATCTCTAGGGGTAAAACAGTCCTTCCTCCCAAAGTTGCCCAGGTGATTCCAATGTGCAGACAAATTTGGGAACCACTGGTCTAACTCGTAAATACAAGATTCTGAAAACGATCTTACGTTACATATTTTCTTCAGATTTAAATTCCATATTCATTTTTTTTTTTTTTTGAGTCAGGGTCTCGCTCTGTGACCCAGACTTGAGTGCAGTAGTTTTACCATAGCTCACAGCAACCTCAAACTGCTGGGCTCAAGTGATCTTCCTACCTCCGCCTCTTGAGTGGCTGGGACTACAGGCACCGCCACCAACCTGGCTAATTTTTCTATTTTTTGTAGAGACGGGGTCTCACTCTTGCTCAGGCTGGCCTCGAATTCCTGGTCTCAAGCAGTCCTCCAGCCTTGGCCTCCCAAAGTGCTAGGATTACAGGCCTAAATTCCACATTCTTAACTGATGCCATACAACTTTAGTTAAATTGCTTACCCTCTGTGAATCTGTCTCCTCATTTACAAAATGTGGATCATGATATTTAGCCTGCTATCTTGAAAAGGTATGAAGATCCACTAACATACTGTATATAAAGGGGCTTTAGGAATCATACAGCACTATCCAAATGTGTAGCCTATCAGCAGTACTCATCCCAGCTGAATTTCATGAGTTGGTGATGCTAGTCAGGAAGAAAATAGGGTTACTGATCCGGCAGTCAGTCATCCAAGGACTAGAAAGCAAAACCACAAGTATTTAAACAAAACCAACTACTAGTAAAAATATTCAAAATTAAAAACACTATTGCAAAGAATCCAAACAAACAAATGTAAGGAATCCCTCATCCCCACAGTGATGTGAGAGAGGCACAAGAAGAGAAGGTGCTTCCTAAAATCTCTCTGAAGGAAATGTGACATGATCTTGTCAACATGCTGAAATCTACTGTCAGATCAAGTAGCAAACAGAAACATCGGTGTTTCATACACAGAAAGCCAGGCTTCAGGACAAGCCAAGGTTGGTTCTACATCTAAGGCAGAGCTAATTTAGCTACTAACCATCTCGTTTGGGTACCCTCTCGCTCTTGCAGCTGGGAACTGGCAGAAAGAGAAAAGGCGGCAATGGGTCAGCCTCATCCTGGAAGGTGGCAATAGCGGAGGATGCAAGCACACTGGCGTGCTCTGAAACTGTGTTCAACACATGCACATTCACATAGCCAGATGCGAGAAACCGAATCAGCTCAATCTTTCTTTCATGGTCTGAAGGCAGATGGAGATGAGGAGTACAGAGGGTGGAGAGTGAGTACAGGGTGGGGTGGGAATTTGGCAAGTGGGCAATGAGGAAAAAGGATGAAAATAAACAAAAATCAAAACAAGATAATTGAACATGCAGAATAAATTTAATATGCAAAGAAATGCCCAGTCACCTGACAGTGATGGGGAGTTACACAGAAAGCAGAGAGATTTAGGAACAGGGAGATTATCAAAATCTGCAATAAGAAGACCAGAGAAGGGGCAGAGATAGAACCCTATCTTTTCTTACTTCTTATTTTAAACCAGGAATAAAGTTTTCTAGTTCCTGCTAGATATATACAAGAGCAGATGAAACACATAAGGATACATAGAAGAGGGGTAGAAACTCAAATACAACTTTTATCTGAAAAGTCATTCAGAATAAGTGGTGTATTCACACAGAGAATGTCATGCAAGGAATGGAGCTAGGGCTCACCTGGCTTGGACAGTGGCATGGGTGGAGGGAAGTATCGTCGAGATTGCTGAGGTGGGCTGTAAAGAAAGGAAGACAAACATCTTCAAGACTAAAGAGTCAGATGTTGATATTAACGGCATGTTTGAATTCCCTTGAAGGAAACAGATCTTTTGCATTTTCAACTCTGGTATAATTCCAGATAATAGAGATAATCCTACATCATCAAATAGGCTTTTAAAATATTTTAATAAAAGTCCCCCTGTAAATCTTAGCTAATAAACAAAATGAGAAAATTCTTCTGTTACCACTGACACTGCTACCATCAAACAGTACCCGTCTCTGCTTTACTCATCAGTTTTGATGAGCACACTGACAGCTTCCACTTCATACGTTGTGGGTCATTAGGACAATTCTACACAATCTGCATGTTATATGCCTACTACCTCAACTTTCTATCCTATTCAGCCTGTTCCTTCAAAAGGATGGTATGCAAGGTCACCAAAATTCAATTGCTGTATCTAAAATTAGTGATTAGATGGTTAGAAAAAGGTGAAGTTTCTAAAGAGGAGACATAGGGTAATATATAAAACTGTTATTTAGTTATCTTAATCCTTCATTTTTATATATAGATGTATATTTTTTTACATCTTTACTATGAGAACCTATATTTTCTTCCTTTTTTTATTTTTAATTTTTATTTTATATATTTGTTTTTACGTCTTTATAGTTACCTTTTTTGCAGCCTTTATAGTTATCTTAATCCCTCAAAAAATTTCTAGCAACTGAAAAACTAAAAAACAAGTAACAACAAAAATCTTTGTTCATCTGGTCCAAACCTGCCAAGCTCCTGTCCGTGCAGGTGAAGCGGGTGCTGCTGATAGTGCCCAAAGACCTCAAACACAATAGGCTTGGTCCTGATGTAATCCACAAAGGATTCCGTGATCTCCACTGCAATCTGACAAGCAAGATCAGGAAAGATTTATTTTATAACAAAAAACACGTTTTTGCTTCGGTCAGAACTTTAGTCCTGTTGAGTGTCCAGTATGTGTGGAGTATTTTATTATGCAGGACTCCTGCACCAAAAGCCAGGGCTCCCCTCACATTTGCATTCTAAAGTAACTGTATCAAGCTTCAGGCATTCAAGACCCTCCACAATTTGACCCAACTAACCTCGGTCCCTGCTGCCCTTCATAAACTCAATCAAATTTGTCTACTGCTCCTTTCCCTTGCTCTCTCCTCTGCTGTGACAAGCACTGGCCCAGGCTGCAGCCCTGCCTGGAAGGCCCTTCCATATGCCATGCACCTAAGTCATTCCTGTACTTCAAGGCCCAGCTCAAATAGTAACAACAATAAGAAAAACATGTACAGACTGTGGACTATGTGCCAGGCACAATGCCAAGTCGACACACCTCTTCTTGCTCCTTCAAAAGGCTCCCCACACCTTTCTCCACCTAACCATCACCCCCAACAAAAAAGGTGACTTAAAATACCTTCCTATTAGTATAATAACTTTCTCTTTCTCCACTTGCACTACATTTATTGAATACTTTCCTCATGTCTCTCTATCTTGTACAACTGTCATCCATATACCCATTTTATTTCCCCTATCATAATTCTAAGCTCCTGGGGGCATCTGCAATTCATCTGCATTCTGCAGGTGTGTCAGGAACAGTCTTTGTGCTGAGCAGCTGATCAGTATGTATCAGATATATGCATGCTCACATTTACACAAACATAAAAAAGGAAACAGTGTATTTTGTGCTTGCTTGTTCCATCTTTGGAGTTGTCCTTTCCTCTCTTACTCTGTACAGTAGACATGGCTAGCAAGAGAATGAGACAGTTTCATGCAGTAGTGAAGATCTTGGATGCTAGAGCCATACTTTTCTGGGTTCAAATCCCATCTCTGCCTCTTCCTAGCTTTGTAACCTTGGAACTTTAACCTCTCTGTGCCTCAGTTATCTCAGATGTAACATAGGGATTATTATAATCTATGGTGTAAAGGGGAAGATTGAATGACACAAAAAACACTCAGAACAGTGACTGACACAAAATAAATTCTCATAAATGTCAGCTATTAAAAAAATAATAGAAAAATAAATGTTAGCTAATGTGATGAGGATGAGGAATTTTAAATACAGTTTAAGTGAAATTTCATATATAAGAGATGGAAGGTCTGTTTTCTTACTCCAAGTATGAAGACAGTTGTAAGGGGCATTAATGGGTTAATTACAGTCTCAGCTGCAAGGAAAACAGACTCTAAATCTTAATTTATCTACAGAAGGTATTTAATACCTTCTATATTATTCACAACTGAACAATATAAATATCTTAGGGTTTAAAAAGGACAATGCATTCACTTTAACAAAGCCCTTACTAAACGTGCTTATTTTTCTAGGACAGAAACACCAAAACAACTCAGTACATTCAAACTGATGGAAGATTTTACTGGCAGACACCACATACCACTCACTGGGCCCATTGTGAATCAGACAGGGAGGCTGCAGCTCAGGCCACTGAGCATGACCTCACCACTCAGGCCACTCCCTCCATTGTCTACTCCCTCCTTGAAGCTGCCCCTGCACAGCAAGCAGCTCATCCCTCCTTCCTCCACTGAGAGAGCCAAGGTACCACAAACCCATGACGTGTTTGGCAACAATGTCTACGTCACTTACATTCTGCACATGATAAAAGCCCAGGGGACTTCCTCTGCCATTGTTTTTGAGGGGTTCAGTGGAGAATGCTTCATCGTGGCGATGCAAAAAACTTAATAAAAAAATAAGACATGAATACTACATTAAATGGTTTCATTAGAATCTGTTTTAAGAGCCCAACTTGGGTCCTATAAAAAGAAGCATCCTACTTAATTAGATTCTTTAACTGAGCTAAGTTATTTACATTTTCTTACCAAAAACATTTTCCATATCACATAGATAGCATTTTAGATTTTATTTGAAAAATGGAGCCAGGTGTGCTACACCTGTAATCCTAGCACTTTGCGAGGCCAAGGCAGGAGGATTGCTTGAGGCCAGGAGTTCGAGACCAACCTGAGCAAGAGCAAGATCCCATCTCTACAAAAAATAGAAAAATTAGCTGGGCACAGTGGCACACACCTGTAGTCCCAGCTACTTGGGAGGCTGAGGCAGGAGGATCGCTTGAGCCCAGGGGCTTGAGGTTGCAGTGAGCTATGATGATACCACTGTACTCTAGCCCAGGCAATAGAGTGAGACCCTAATTCAAAAAAAGAAAAAAATTACTGAAAAATTAACTGACCCTGATTACTTAGCTAAATGAATGTATATGCAAGAGAATGAAGACCTGAATTCAATGAACTCCTATTGTTTTGTAGAAGTTTTTTACCGAAAATAAAAATACTAAAATCATTTTGTACAGAAAAAATTCGGTATACTCAAGTTTCTACAAGATAGTACTAAAGCCTGTGAGTGGCGTACTCACCTAAGAGTCTAATACCCAGCTAAAGGTGGATTCAAATGTCACCTCTTCCAGGAAGTCTTCCCTTACTTATCCAGATAGTTTCATATTCCCACAGCAGTAGGGACCTATTTTTCCACAATAGCAATGATTTCACTGTTTGTAATAATGTATTTACATGCCTGTCTCCCCAACAGACAGTAAGTGCTTTCCCACAAGGCTCAACACACAGCAGACACTCCGGAAATATTTGTTAAACTAATGGCCTATGTTAATTTATTCTCACAAATGGTAAGATTTTATTGTTCTCTCTTTCTCCCTATCATTAGTCTTAAATAAAAAGAACTGGAGAATTAAAGAATATCTAACACAAAGATTTAGTGCCGGATAGAAATATACACTAGATGGATATACTGCCTGCAAGAAAAAAGGGAAAAAGAGAAAACTCTTTGAATAGGTGGGAGAGAAACCAGCAGGATGAACTCCTTGTCTTCCAAATTAGTTCACTGACTCTGAAAACGGTAGTGTACTTTTTTTTTCTTTTTTAGCTCAAGTGTTGTGAGTAAGCAGTAGTGTACTTTTGCCAAGTGCTCCAAATCACTGACACCATATATTGCTGGCACTACAGCATTCTCATTATATGTATCTTTTTCTATTTTCTTTCTTCCCATTTCTGCTCATGTCTTTCCTTTTCCTTCTCTTCTTACTTTTCCCCCCCATTTTTTTCTTCTCCTGACCATATACTGTACCTACACCCCATGGTTGACTTCTGATCTACACTCTTCCAATACTTTGCCATTGTAGAAGGTACATATATCCCAAGTTCCCCTGGTGACAGATGAACTCATTCACATTGCTCTATAGCTGCATCTTCCCTATACAGGCCAGATGAGAGTTTATAAAAATCCAGTCCAACATTAGTCAACATGCCCTTTCTCCAGAGCTAACACTAGGTGGAGATGCTGCTCTCTTTTAAGGAGATTTTAGGACAAAGGTCAACATACTATTACTGTCATTTCAGACATCAGTTAACCAAATAGGTAGTTTCTATAAAATATATCAGTTGCTTTTCACTATTAGAATAATAGTGAAAGTTCCAAAAAAATGTTTTCCAGCCAATTCAATCCTCCTCTAAATTTGAAGCTGTTAGTGAAAACATTAAATAGGTGAAATCAGTACTGGATGGGTAATATTTCAATAATTATGAGTTACACCAAGTCATATTAGTGGCTTCCTATGTAGTGATCATATTAATTCAAGATTTGGCTAAATCTATTTAAAAGAAATGCTTTATAAACACATTAGGACCTGTACAAACACCAAGGCACATATAAAGGGGAAAGGGAGGGTAGAGCTCTAAAGCAGCCTCTTGGTGGTACCAATGGCAAACTGTGGCTTGTTTTTTTTTTTTTGAGACAGGGTCTTGCTCTTTTGTCTGGGCTGGAGTGCATGGAGTGCAGTGGTGTCATCATAGCTCAGGGCAACCTTCAACTCCGGGGCTCAAGTGATCCTCCTGGCTCAGCCTCCCAAGTAGCTGGGACTACAGACACATGCCACCCTGTTTGGCTAATTTTTGTATTTTTTGGTAGAGATGGGGTCTCGCTATGTTGCTCAAGCTGGTCTCAAACTCCTGGCCTCAGTGATCCTCTCACCTTGGCCTCCCAAAGTGCTACGATTATAGACATAAGCCACCATGCTTGGCCTAAATTCTAGGCTTTAGGTATGGTGTGGGTCAGACTTCACTCTTTTGGGTACTGAAAAGACATATTGATGTTTAGAGGTATTAAAACTTAAAATCCACAAAAAAGGATTGTTTTAGGGAAGTATGGAAACGAAAGCACCTAAAATATAGGTCTCAAGAGGGTCACAGGAAAGGACAAGCTCTAAGTGGATGAGAATTGAAAGCTGTCGCACCTTCTCTATATACTAGCTTTTTACAGCTGATATAGAATTTATTTTTCTTTATCTTACTTAGATTTTCCTTTTCCCAAGTATTAAATTTGCATAATTGGTGGGTAGATAATTCATTGCTTCTATACTTTTTAACTAATAAAACATTTCAGCATGAAGAGCATTAAAAAGACTAATAAATAGGCTTATCTGGATCAGCCCCTATATTCCTGGCAGAGGGGGACAATCCCCAACAGAACCCTCTAGCAGGATGCATGGCACACTCCTCCCCACAAGGAACCAACCCTCTTTTATTCCAATGTAGGTTTCTGGTTCTCACTCCCATCTTGAGTGATGAAAGCATTTTCCTTCATTGACTGGTAGTCTTTTGCTAATATCTCACATATGTAAAGCACTCTACAGTGCCTAAAAGACATGATCTCAGAAGGCAGCTAGCAAGGTAGGCAGAGCAAAGGGGCAGCTTACTTGAACTGACAGAAGATATCTGCATACTCTGGGAGGATTCCACTGGCCTGCAACACTGTTACCCGGAAAGTGAAGGCACTGCCCAGTTTCAGGTGGTTGCCAATCTCTTCAGAAAACCCTTCCATTACCATCTTACCATCCAGCAAAGTGCTTGACTTCAAATCTAAAGAGGGTCAAATGAATACACATATGGTTGAAATGATGCAAAGAGGAGGGAGTCGGGCATTCTTTCCATTCCTAGTTGATGAAGTGACTATGTCCCTTGATCATGGTCAGTATGTTCCCCTCTTTGAAAATTTCCCCAAACAGTAAACTCTGTCTACTTACCCAAGTCATTCATTCGATTGATTTCTTCTGGAGGAGTGATGACCTCAGTACTCTGACCCTGGCCTTCCACAATCCTCAGCTCCTCCAAGGACAGACCAGCACGAGTCATTGCAACAGAAGAAAAGTCACTCTGAAAACAAGGCAGGGGTAGGTATATGGTAAAGTAGTATAAAAACATATTTTCCCCCCGTTTCCTTACTTCTGTTTATTTGCTCAACAAATAATAGTGACTAGAAAATTATATGGATTGAAAGCTGTCTGAGAAAAGCCAATACAATGAAAGGTACACGCTGAGTCTTTACCTTTAGTAATTGTTAGGCATGTCCCATATTCTAGTGAACAATGTGTGGTCACCAGCATCCTGTATTTTTTAGTTCTAGGTATGGGAATTGGTCTCCAATGCTGAATATTATCCTTAAAAACCCATCTACTTCTTTCTCTTTCCATAAGGTTTTCCTTCTTCCTGAAGGTGTCTCACCTGATTAAAGTACTCGTTATCAAAAGATATTTTAGCTGTTCCTGACTGTCGAATTCCAGAGCCATAATCAGGAGCTTCTTCATCCGCTAAGTAGAAAAAAAGTGAGCATGGGCAGAATGAGACTACATATGGGGAGGAAGAGGAATGACTCTTATCAGATTATAAAACAAACAGGAAAGTCCTTTTACATAAGAAAGAGAGAATGACACTGAAGTAGCAAAATTACACAGGCTGCTTCCCACTCTATTCATGCAGATTTACCAACCTCCTTAGTTCACATGAGACTAGTTAATAAAGAATCAGTTTTATTTTTAAGAAATAATACCTAGAAATACTGACCCCTCCATCTTGGCAAGATTATATTCAATAATACACAACAAATACTTGAAAATATTATATTATACTTGTGGAGACTTCCATAAACTCAACACTGGTGACTGTGTCAAAGGTTTCCATGGGGAAAAGGCTGAAAAGTTGCTAAACAAAGTACAACATTTGAAAATTAAGACAAAAAAATTACAGGAAATGGC